TGGAATATACGTGACATTTTCAGTAATTGAACAGGGAGTAATATAATGCGAGCACGAAATATGTGATTGAAGAAGGCTTTGAAATTATCCGGGAATGTTTTCATATGAGATCATATTACACCTTCTTGTTTTGATGATTAATGTAGCGTTATTAATTTTCCTGGTGGTTTTATCATCCACGATGACATTTACGAATATATGATCAAGCATTATGACGGGAGAGATATTTTTCTTTTCCTCAACTAATATTTCTCACTCTAGTTTTTTCTCTATTTGAAAAAATGAAGTTAATGGTGGACTCTAATGAACGAATTGTCGCATCGCAAATTGGTTTATTTCAGATTAAAACGAATATGAAACACTATCAAAAGTTTTTCTGCTGTTTTTTATCATTCGAAATGGAGAGGCTAGAGCCCAAAAACGGAATTCGACATCACTAGTTGTTGGCAAATATTTCAAAAATACCTACTGATATTTTCAATCTGAAAAGAGAATAATCTAGTTCTCTAAAATAGGAAACTTTTTTAAATATCAATCGACCTTATAGGTCTTACCGTTTCCGAAATAGCAATAATGGGATCCGATAGAAAACGGCCTGTATAATTTTCAAATTCAGGTTGTGATTTTTGCTTTTTTTTTTAGCCGCTTTTATTAGCGGGTCGAAAACTAACTATTAACGGACATATTTATTTTTAACTTTGTACACTTATCAAAAATCGCTGATAATACAATAATTTCATAAGATCATCTCATTTTCCTGATCAGGATCGCCAGGATAAAATAATTTCCTCACACACTCTCTGTGTGAGAGCAAGTGAGACAACCACACTGTCTGCGCATGCGTATATTTTTGTATTGAAACAAATGGACTTGAAATAGCAAGCCAAACTGAAAAATGGAAAATAAATAATAGTTTTAAAATCTAAAAAAAAACACGCTTCAATAGCAATACTAACTAAACATTGAAAATAATTCTGAACTGATTTAAGATTGTGTTCAACATCGATAATAAGTTCTATGACTTGATGTTACTAATAACTTTTAATAAGTTTGAAATCAGAATGAATCTATTTGCATAAAAAATTGTTGTAAAAAAGCGTGCTAAATATTCATTCTTATAAACACTTGGATAGGAACTGTTTGCCAGATTGGCACCTCATGCTTTCTACAACAAAATTAATTTTTTGTAAATAGATTCATTCTGATTTTAGACATATCAAAAGCTATTAGTTACATCTAGCCGTAGGACTTATCGATGTTGAACACAATCTTACATTAGCTTCAAATTATTTTTCAGTTTGTGTTGCTATTGAAGAGAGTTTTTTAATTTTTTCAAACTATTATTTTTTGTATTGGTCAAAGGTGCAGAGTGGTATACTTTCAGATTTTTTTCATGAGACATAACTTTCGAAAAATACATGATAATTGAATAAAAAATAACTTTCAACATAAAAAATTATAAATTTATTGTGAGAAACTCTTCTTAACATTTGCAATTTCATTGTATCTGGAAACTTATTTAGATACTGAAATATCTATTGTATATCTGAATACATGTTTCGTTTATGTGAAACTGTGTAGTGAAAACCTCACAATGATATATTTTTCGAATAATTCAAAGTTTGATTTTGATTCAGAGAAGAAGATACACACCTCCCAGCATAAGGATGTCTATCGTATTGCTGTGTAATGTCGACTATGAGAAGTTTTTGTGTGATCCAGAATGCCTAGAGATTATAATGGCAAGAGACAATGTAATCTGCCATGACTACTACCTGGACTGAAAAGTGTCGGGCCTAACACATAGATGGCGTTAGTCTTATTGCATTCACCGCTTTTTCAGTAAGTTCTAATCTTTAAAAGGGAATTGTTGAAATTTCATGATATTCTACCCATAACTTTGTGAGTTATAGTTCTAAGAAGTACACTACTTTTGTTATTTTCAGAATAATGGATCAAAAACAATTTCGTGTTTTGATTTTACACTACTTCTTGATGGGAAAAAATACATTTCAAGCAAAGCAAGGCCTTGAAAAGTGTTACAAGGACTCCACTCCATCAGAAACAATAATTAAACGTTGGTTTGCTGACTCCAAACGTGGTCGTAGAGACACCGATGACGCAGAACGCAGTGGACGTCCAAATGAGGCAGTAACAACAGAAAACATGAAAAAATCCATAAAATCGTTTCGAAATCAAAAAGTTATGTTGCCTAATTTAGCTGATATTATAAAGATATCAAAGAGCATTTATCTATGAGAAAGTGCTGTCCAAAGTGGGTGCCGCTCATTGTTAACCAAAACCAAGAAGGTCTCGATTATTCTGAGCAAAACATTCTGAACATAACAAAACAGAATTTTTGCGTCGATATGTGACAATGGATGACACATTGATCCATCACCTCACTCCGGAATCAAAATGATCGTCATCTGAGTGGACAGCAACTGGTGAACCTCGTCCAAGGCGCCCGAAAGCACAACAATCGGCTGGAAAGGTTATAGCCTGGGTATTTTGAGATGAGCGTGGTGTGATATCCATGTTCTATCTTGAGAAAGGAAATCAGTGAATATTATATAGCGTTTGAAGGCCGAAATTGCAAAGAAACTACCGCATATATCAAAGAAAAATTTTTTGTTTCATCAAAACAACGCACCGTGTCACAATTCAAATCAAAACAATGGCAGAACTACATGAATTCAACTTCGAATTGCATCCATATTCACCGTATTCGCCAGATTTATCTCCTAGTAACTACTGGCTGTTCGCAAACCTCAAAAGAATGCTCTCCGGTGAGTAATTCCGCGTGCACGAGCGGAAACTGTGACATATTTTGGGGAAAAAGATATATCGTTCTACAAAAGTGGTACTGGAATGTAAGAGCAGCACTGGAATGATTGTGTGGCTCTTGATGGAGGTTACGTTGACGGATAAAAAACATGTTTTCTTTCTCAGGCCAGGTACTTTTCAGCCCATGTGTTTTTTGCTGCATGGTTAGTCATGTACAAATCATCAAGTGGAAAATCGACAGCTACATTATTTTGCTACTGAATCTTTCAATTGAAGATAATCTCTTTAATTGCCAGCCAAAATAGGGAAAACGAGTATTGATGTTATTCACTTGCGTCTTTGGAACACATCTGTTTTCCGTCCCCATCTAGAGTTCTTTCTCTTGTGAATAAATCAAAATATTGTTATTTCGGGTGACCAGTTACTTATAGTATGGGAAGAAATCAATTGTAGAAAGGATCGAATATTAGGTTAGTTAGGTTAGGTCTAAAGTGAGTGAGTATATTCGATCCTTCATCGCAACACACAAGAGTTCATTGTGGCCCACATTTATTCACACTTTCTTCCGACAGACCGAGTCCTGCATATGATGATTCAAATTACAGTGACCTGTAAGAAGGCCTGTTAGACATTGTAGTTCATCCCTACTGTAGTCCAACAACTATTTGGTATCAAGCTTCGAAGGGTGAATAAACGCTTTGGAGTGAACCAATCCCGAAAGGTTCTACCAGAAGACCATAAATCTTCCTGCCATTCAGGTGTTCAGTCTTTGTTTGATAAAGCCTAAGGCGATGCCAACGACAAGTTCTGGTCCGATGAAGCTGCCTGCAGCACCCTCATTTGCAAGGAAGTCAGCAGCCTCATTGCCTACCCGGTCAGTATGGCCAGGAATCCAGATCAGAGACAATCTGTCAAGTTTTCCTATCGAGGAGAGTCGTTTTTGGCAATTTGCTACCAATTCAGACGTTGCTCGGTAAGAGCCAAGAGCTTCCAACTATCCGAGAATATTTTTATTGACTTATGTATGAGGTTGGATTCTTCCACTCTCTCAGCAAATAATTCAATAGCGTAAATTTCCGCTTGAAATACAATAGCATAGGTGCCTATGCAGGTTAATATATCCGTCCTGGATCTACGACTGAAAACACCTGCACGAGAACCGAAAGATGTTTTTGATCCATTTGTGAACCAAAAACTATTTGCCCTTAATCTTTCCTTCTCCCGAAGGATCCAGTCCTCTCTACTCGGGAACAGTACTTTATAACGAAGTTCGTAATTGACAGGCATAAAGTCAGAAGTAATTTTTAGAATGCTGTGACTTTCAGGGTCAATCCACAGTCTGTTACACTCTGCATTAAATTGATGTGTGCAATTGGCAATGTGCACAAGTCTATATGCAGTTCATCTAGCTTCTCACTCCAGAAAAATGTGGAGAGGAGGTAGATCTAGAAGGATCTCCATGGCCGCTGACAGTGTGGTACTGATGGTTCCACTGTTGGCCAGACAAGCCTGTCTCTCTAAGTCAGAGAGCTTCACCTGGGCCGTTTTCTGTAAAGCCTTTGGCCACCAAGCATTACACCATAAGTGATCATTGGTCTGACAATCATCACGTAAATCCAATCGAAGGTTACTGAAGTGTGATAGAGTATTCCATCAGATAATTGAAGCCCACGCTTTAATCGTCCAGAATCTTTGAGTTATTCATACTCAGATATCCAGATCTTTGAAATGGAATATACTAGATGGAAAAATCATTGTATGGTGGAACACTTGTTTTATTTCATAAACTGTTTAGTGAAAACCTTAGTGTGAAGTAACAGAAACGTTCATCACGGATTTTCATCAAAAATAGGCCCAATTCCTGAAATTCATCAAAGTAGTTGTCAACGAATCTTTTTATTCAATTTTAATTTATCTCGTTCCAACAAATCATTGAGCAAAATCAAAAAAAATTGCATAACGAAATCTTGATACAAGCTTCTAAGTTCAATCATCTTGTGTCCTCAAATCAAAATGACCTAAACATTTTCGACTACTCTTATGACGTCCATTTCAGCGTATTCTACTAATTGAAAATCCATCACCCAATATAAGCGTGAGTGACTTCACTATACGGTAAACCTCGTATAGGAATATCCCAATTACACAACAAGCATCAAGATAAACTCGAATTGGCCGAATAACAGTTCTCCAAGAACGTAAATATTTATAACCCAAAACGAGCATCTTTTCGTATCAGTGCGAATTCGCTAGTCACCGTTGTCTCTTGACTTCTTCCTACGTTGGAAATGGATTGCGGCTGTGTTTCGGGCTACGTCGGTCCATCGCTGGACCAGACTTGCGGAGGCGGCGCTTTATTTCTCTTCATGAGCCTGCTGGACACTTTCATTCGGAACAAGTGTGATATTTCCGAATTATGCCAGCGAGTTGTTCCCAAGAGGAGGCCAGATCCCGAGTATGATTTTGTTGTGATCGGCGGGGGCAGCGGAGGTGCTGCTGCGGCAGGGAGGTTGTCGGAAGTTCCAGGGTGGAAGGTGCTGTTGATTGAGGCTGGAGATGATGAACCAGCCGGGGCTCAGGTATAGTAAAACAATCCTGAATATTTTGTATCTTTTTATTGTATATTTTCTTAGAATTGTTAGTAAACTTCTCTTTGACTCACAGTCCAGTCGATGTAGCAGAAATTGCGTGGCTAAACGTCGGTAAAATAAATGAAGTGAACATATGAGACGTATGAGTTACACAAATGATGTAGGTCATATCTTTTTCTTTCAGCGCAAAGCAACTTGATTTAACTTGACAATACTTTTTCCATCAGAAATTAATTTTTGGGAAAAACTTTATGTGTCTCTAACTTTCTATCATTTCACAAAGTGTTTACTATCTACCTTACGAAACTTCAGAGGGTGATTCGCTAGCTCGTTTTAACAAAAAAATTCAGTGTTGCTTCACTTCTGAGATACAGGAAGTTCAAAAAACAACTGTATTTATAAAATATCAGAAACATTCTTACACCGATTCGGACGGTAGCCGGTAGGTTAGGTTAAGTTAGGTTAGGTGCACGTGGGTGCTTTGTTCGCTCAATCAAATCGACCGCCGTGTTGGTCGGTGGTTCAAGCCCCAGGCTGAACGGTGGATTTCCACTTGCTATCGTCCAACCCGTGTTAGGAATCACACGTTGAAAGGTAAGATCTCGTTAGTCCTTAGCTCGCACAAGATTCGACTTCTGAGGGTTGTCGTTTGTAGCGACAGCTGGTTAACGGAAAAACAGACAGACCGATTTGTTTGAAATTTGCTAGTTATTTGGAGTAATAAGGCACTTAATCAGCACGAACTAGATTGAAATTAGGTCCAGTGACGTCTCAGTAGGCACCACAGCCAACAATATTGAGACAAAAATGGTTATTGTGAAAGTTTCTAATAGCATCTCGTGAAAAATTTGGTAACATATTATTATTGTTTGCCATCGTATGAATCAACCATAAACAAAACATTATTCTTCGGTGGAAATTTCGAGGAAGTAGAGCTTGGATACGCTGTATGTGATATGGGTGTTGGAGGTTTCTTTTTAGAACTGTCCATACGATTTTTTGGGCTGACTTACAGCTGTATTGTTCATATGTATGGCATGATTCAATAACCATTTCTGAAACTTATAACATATTGATTCATTTTCCATTCACATCCCAGCAAGGTCCAGTTGAACAACTTTGAATCAATTCGAATGAATTAAATTGAAAAAAATATATAACATTTCATCAATAATCAATTCAATTTGAATGATTTCGAAAAAAGGCTTCCACCTGAATCTAATAGATATTTATAAAATATAACAAAATAGGCTTTCACGACCGGAGTCACGATTAGAGAAGAAATCCGGGCTGGTAATCATGGTCGTATAGAATTTGTGGTACAAAACGTTTCGTTTGCTACCGCGACAGACATCATCGGTGATATGTGCAACGACTGACTTTCTAGCTTTTGAACTTTGGGTGAAAACCTGACTTTTCGATATTCGTTGTTTCTTTTCTATTGAATCAAACAACTGAATGCAACCTAATTGATGAAATGGTCCTATAGGATTCTGCGGAAAATCTTTCAAAAGTATAGAAAGCACTCACTTCAAATTCAAGTTGACGAATTATCCATCTTTGAGTTTATTTCAAACCATATAGGAAAACAATAGGATGGAATTGAAATACATATTCAGAAAAAAAAAATAAAAAAATAAGGTGAAGATAATAAACCTGGTACTCACATAATGAAATGCATAACTTATGATTGTGAGTCATTGTCCGCAAAAAATACCATTATCCTGATGGAAATACTATTTTCCGTTTTAGAACTTTAGAACACTGTCAATCGATGCGCATTTTGCTAACCCAGTCAGCATCATTAGTTTCATCACCTCCTGATAACGATAACTTGGCAAGTGACAATGTATCGATGCTACGAAAACCCAGGCATCGGTTTTCGTGGCATCGGTTTTCTACAAAAAAAATAATGTTCCGAATCCAATGTATTAATGTCAGTACAGACAATGCCGCTTTCTGCTTCAATGAGTTTGTTGGGGGTTGAATTGGACACCATATGTCGGCACAATCATGTCGCTGGGACTGCAAAGGCTGCTTCTCAAAATCTTGGAACACTGTTCCGAACCAGAAAACTGTACACACCTCAGCAACTTTCGATACTTTATAAAGCTGATCAGACATACTTTGGAGTATGATTCTCATCTTTGCGGTTCCGCCCCTAAGTATACCTTAGAGCTGCTGAATTTCATCCAGATAAAATCTGTCACCTTGATTGGGGACTCGAAATTCACTTGAAAGCTTGATAGTCTGGAACATCGAAGAAAAGTTGGAGATTTGTCTCTCTTCTTAAGATACTTTCACGGAAGGTGTTCAGGTATCTTCTATCGTATGTCACCCATATTTGGAAAAACGCAATCGAGAAATATGGAGAGTCAAGAGCTATTGCCCTCGATATTTCCGAGGCCTTCGACCGTGTGTGGCATAAGGGTTTACTGACCAAACTTCGATGCTATGGCTTGTCAAATCATTTTTTAGAATGGCTCTCCAGCTTCCTGAAATAATCAGGTTCAGTTCAATGCCACAAAAACCCAGGCATCCGTGTTCTCGAAAAAGATAAATGTCTCCAAGCCGGACATATTAATGTCTGAATAGACAATTCCGCTTTCTGCTTCGATAAGTTTATTGGGGGTTTAAATGGACACCAATATGTCTTGGCACAATCATGTCGCTGGAATTGTAAAGGCTGCTTCTCGAAAGTTTGGAACACCGTTCTGAAACAAAAAACTGGTACACATCTCAGCATTTTTTGATGGTTTATAAAGCTCAGATCAGGCCTTATTCGGAATATTGTTCTCATGTATGGAGCTCCGCCCTTAAGCTTACCCTAGAGCTGCTGAATTCCATCCATCCTCCTGATTGGAGACACTAACATCCCTTGCAACCTAGATAGTATGGAACATCGAAGGTATGCTTTTTATAGATACTTTCATAGGAGGTGTTCAGGCGACTTGGTCAATTCGATTCCACCAAGAGCGGCACATATTCAGAGATACGTGACGGAATGTGGCTGCTCATCGTTTTGAGGTTCAACTCAGTACACTTCAAATTCCACTGTCAAGGAATTCTTTCATTTGGAGCACGGCATTTATATGAAACAAACTTCTTGAGAACGTTTTTCCGAATGAATTTAATCTCCATCTCAAATCCAACTTCAATCGCCACTCTCGCACAGGCCCCGACTTCAGAGCGACTCAAGAATTTTCCTGTAGTGCTTAAAAATAAACTGTTGTTTTGTCACCTGGATCAGACTGACTCTCTTCGTGTCTTCCCAATTTTCACAAAACTCATGAACCAATAAATATGGCGATATCCCCATGATTAGCGTCTTGTGAAATTATATGAACTCAAAAGTTTGAAGAAATGATTTTGTTGAAATCAGAATTTTAACAGAAAAAGAAATGTTGATAACATGTAGTTTATGAACATTGTAACTAGATGTCTATGCTTTCATTTAAATTGAGCATTCTTTGTGATATTTAGCATTTTTGAAATTGATCCTAAGGAATGAATAATATTTACCTAGTTGATTCGGTAAAATGTAATTGAATTCAATTCTGAGATACCACTTTTGAAAATAAAATTCAGAGGTTGAAAAACTTCAGTTCGAATCATCTGAAACATCAAGTCTCATTTTGAACCTCCCTGTAAATTTAGTTCAGGAGCGACTCTACAGAGGAGATGGATGTCGAGTTAATGACTCCAAACTGACCTCTCTGTAAATTCAGTTCAGAAGCGAGAGCTGCGGCGTACGCATAATCTGTCTCAAGTGGGGGAAGTAACCGCCCATGAGCAGGTTAGCAAACGTGGGCGCTCAAGTAGGGTTTCACCAAAAACAGAGGCGGAAAAGCCCTGCACGGCTGAATCTAAGGCATCGTCAGGTGTAGCTGACGTGCAAAAACCCTTATATGGAAAGGTTGTCGTGGGGATCAAGGTGGAAATCTTGCAACTTCAGAGTTCGGCAGAGATGTATTCTCACCATCCTGAGTTGAAAGACCACTCACCATACAAACTAATCGGCTTCGTTGAGAAGCTAGATTTGTTTGGCCTGGTGAGATCAGGTGTGAGCCACAATGAACCCTTGCGGGTCGCGGTGGAAAGTCGAATAGACCTACTCACTTTGGACCTAACCTAACCTCATTTCGGAAATTTTTTCAAAGAAAAAGATACATATTCAGAAAATCGTTCAAACAAAGTAGGATTCGTATCTCTCATAATACCCGACAAAAAACTTCACCCTTCAATTATTTCGACGAATACATTGAATGGATTTTGATTACATCTTAGTACCTGCAAGAAAACTGGCGGAAGCAGGCATAATAATCAAATTATGCAAATTTAATTATGCATAAAAACACAATTTTATCATGATCGTATGTTATTATGTGTGGCTATATCCTTGATTTTTTTCATAAGTTGGAAGTGCCGATGGCAAACAAAATCTTGAAAAAATAATTCAGGAGCCCATCGAATTGTTCCGCGTATTCAAAGTATTTCCGAAATTTAAAAAGGGCCCAACAACTGAGTACCTGATTTTGAACCAATATTCTCTAGGTGGATAACATTGAAAACCATTGATTATTTGTGATATCACAAGCTTTTGAAAAATAACTCCATGATTCCATCTAACGATTCAGAAATAATTTGGTTTCTGAAAGACGCATAGTAGGTGATTTGTCGAAATCGGTCTGTAGGTTACCTAGTCGGTTAATTTCAGCATGCTACTGGATAAACGAGAAACATCTGCGAGACTAACCTCTGTGAGGTTTCTCACATGAATGTTTGTCGAATATAATTCAATATTCAGCGTGAAATTAGCCGGGGAAGTAATTGTTTTCCAACAGACATATACCAGAAACCACGGTGTAGGTAGTTGAGAGGGATGAATATTCTTAGATTTTATTTCGAAATATGTATTTTGAAGTACTTATATTTATTTTCACGAAAACTCATTTCAGTGATACTACACGGAGTTTCATCTATCATTT